GGAGGGGGGGGGGTACTCTTGCTAGTTCCTCTTGCTAGTCCACGTCAATTAACAGGTTACATTTTAGTGAGACCTGTAGACTGCTTTGAAGCTACGAAATGGTATAAGTGAGCTACTTGGGTTGTAGGAATTCACAGGTTCTCACAAGCTGGGTAGCCTGAACTAGCTTCGCTGACAGCACTCCGTGCCCCCACCGAGCTGAACTGCGCGCTGAGAGCTCCTGAACAGCTAGGAATCTTAGGTTACTCGAATTCCTTCCAACCTGTGCCCCGATGTGCTCGAAAAAAACCACCTCAGGATCATGCGGTTAGGGAGCTCAGAGTTATAGGGCGAAACTCCTAAAGTGCCGCCTGGCCTCAGTCATGACGAAAAGGTCAAGCTAAATAGTTATTCGCCTTCGCCTTAATATCTAGTTTGACCTCACGGATGGTTCACCTCAGTACATTCTTTGTAATGTGCCTACAACAGCAGCAATAACTCACCGCATCCGATTTCATCTGACGCGTCACCACAGTCGTCGTTACGATCGCAAGGCAGTGAGCCATTGATGCAACGTCCATTAGCACACTGAATTTCGCTTTCAATTCGGTGATAAATTTGGGCTTCAGAACAACGATTGCTTGGTAAAACCTGAGAAGAGGCAAACTCTCACCTTGAACTGATCCAGATTACAGTCCCCATATTCGGAGAAGCTTGAACACATCGAAAGATGCTCATCAGAATAGTCATTGGGACCACAATCATTGAAGCCATTGCAGAGCTGAAAATGAGAGGAATACTGTTTGTGGATGAATAGATGGTTTAACATGACTGGGGCGATTCAACCCCTGAGAACGGGAGGCAGAGTCTCTAGTATGTGCCTACCACACCCATATGGGTAAGGTTGATCTTACCTGCAGAATGTTGAGACAAAGTCGCGAATGAGCACATCGGAATCGTAGCGGAGGATCGCATTGGGCGGAGCGGCACTCTGATGATGTTTCGTCCGAGTTGTCACCGCAGTCGTTATCCCCGTCGCACATGAACTTGCGCGGAATACAGACTGAGTTGGAGCACTCGAATTCGAAGGGCGAACATGGACGACGCTCCTATAACGAGGACATAACTTGGTTATCACTCTTGATACAACTGATATTATCCA